TTGTACATTCATGAACTTATTCTTGAAGATGATAAATTAGGTTTGGCCTTTATTTTGTATGTAGAAAAAAAGTAACATTCTCAAGGTTACTGCTTTTACTTAAGTGGAAAATTAGGAGTTTTTGTTAGTTACGGATAACCCATTTCTCTTTCCTTTCTCTTTCTTTCCCTCTTTTTTCTTTTCTTTTTCCTTCCCTCCCTCCCTCCCTCCCTTCCTCCCTTCTTTCCTTCCTTCCAATGATGATGAAAAGTTTCCTATTGTTTGGTTGTAAACCAAAAAAGACTTCTAATGAAAACATTTGTTCCTAAAACTCTTTTGGATTTTGAAGAACCAAAGTCAAAACTATTTTCCTTGCCCTCTTTATTTTGGCATAGAACACAAAGAGTTAAAACTATTAGAAGAGTAAACAAAGAAAAGCCACGCTCAGTTCTCTGTATTTCCTTTGGCATCCTATTGAAGTGTGATCTTGGTGCGTGTTCACTGTGTATTTTTCGTTTTTTTCTGTGTGGTCTTTATCCATAGTAAGTTTCAATTAACTTTTAAGACCCAGTGATATTTTAGAAAAGCAAGGATGAACCACACTTTACAAGATGCCATCTAAAACAGTGGCATCAAGGCAGATTTTCTCTATTGATTGATTTATTCTTTTTCAAAGACCCCGGTATAGGTGGATTTATATTTGGGCATTTGAAATGGATGGCATTTTATTCTCTCACAGTTAAACTTCAGGTACTGCTGTTGCATAAGGATGTGCAAGTTTAAGAATTCCTATTTTTTTCCTCATTTTTGTTAGTTATAAAAGATTATTCTGGAAAAAACATTCAATCTGAAAATTAATGGAGTGTTAAAAATACTTTGATATTTTCTTTCTGCTTATGAGGAGAGGACATTAAGGAAAGGGGGGCTAGTATATCAGGAAACTAAATCTGCTCCACATAGGTCAAGTTTTGACAACTTCTTTATCAATTTCACCAGGTTTTTAAAGTTGAGATGAAGTTAGGGCTGTTTATTCTCTTAGCTTTCTTCCTGCACAAGTATTCCTGCCACCTTCAGGGATTTACTTGCCATTGGCAGAATTAAGGCCAATACTGTTTTCTGCTTCATAGTGTATTTTTATTTCTTAGGTCAAAACCCGAACTTGCTTTGCCATCAATTCATTTATTTAATAATATATTTTATATGTTTTCTCTTCCCCTCCTGTCCATGTCTGTAACAGGCCTCTGGTCCTTACTCCTGATAAACACATTGATTTATTTAAACCACTGTTGTCTTTGTCACTCTCATAGCAGACTACCTTCCTCACCGTGAACAGACACATGATTTACTATGGAGGATGAAAATAAGCCTTCTTCTTGGTGTTCCATTGTCTGGGCCCTAAACCAGCTGTCTATTAAAATGGTTTCACTTAAAAGAGTCAATGCTGTTTATATGCTTCTGTGATCTCCCAGCTGATCCAGTCTCAGCGAGCTTTACTCACACCCCACGGAGGCACATATTTAAATTAGTAAGAAAAGCAGAAACTTCTAAGTTGGTATTAGAAGATCCCTTTCCTTTTAGGCTTGAAGTCTGGGTTTGCTGAACTGTGAACCCATCTTGACATATGTATGAAATGTAGACGGTAAAGAACTGATATGTGGCTATCGGTTGTGTAGGTGTGTAAGCTGGAGGGAGACCTTGGTGACATTTTTAAAAAGTCTGTCTTATTGTGGACACTCTGCTTCAGAGATATTCAGCAAAATAACTTTATCATATTTTCCCATTTTGGATCTCATTGGAATGTTGATTTCTTGGCCCATATCTTTTATGTGATACTGTGTGTGTGTGTGTGTGTTAAGAAGGCTTTTCAGTAACAAATACTGCATCGGTGAGGTTGGAAGTAGATCTTCCTGTGACTGAGGTCCACTCTATAACTGATTCTGTTACACTGAGGTTCTAGCTTACTATACTTCCAGGATTTTAGTTCTACTTCATAGGAGAGTGAAAAGACTCCCTGTTTCTCTTGCTTTCATTTCAGAAGTCACAGAAGTAGCCCTTCTTTCTCTGTGTTTATGTGCTAAAAAATATTGTTCTGTTGAGGCCTCAAAAAGAGGGACAGCAGAAACTTTATGCTTCCACTCCTCTCTGGAATTCTTAACTATTTCTGAGCAAATCCAAACTCATGCTTTTATTTTTCTATGCTTGATTTAGAGAAGGATTCTCCAATTTGTCTGCTGCCAGAAGTGAAGTGGCAGTTTGGCATTTGGTAAAGAGATGTATCACAGAGGCCCTGCGCCTTCCACGAAAGATGTTCAGTCACTAAAGATAAAAACATGGGATCGCTGGGCATCTCTGGATCATCTACTGTTTAGGGGAGTTGTGAGCATATCTGCACTGCGGCATGACTTTCACTGAATATCATCACAGATCCACTGATTTTGGTGGAACCAGCAGCCTCAACAAAAATAATATCATCTAGAAGGAATCAAAGTGAGAAGGTCTGATGTAACTGATACACATTCCTCTTTAAAAAAAAACACAATTTTTTTTTTTACAGGAAGGAAAACCCTACCAATATCTGTGAATATATTTACCAAGTTACTTGTATTAGTTTAGCATGACAAAAAACTGAAGTTGAAACAGAGGTTATCAGTGATATTAAGAGAACATCCAAAACATGTAAAACATGTAGTGATAAATAGGATTTCACAAAAATGCATGCTTAGAATGTTTTAGCACCATATTTAAGACCTAATCAGTTATTTACAGTGTTTCTTTGATTTCAGCAGTGATTGCAGTAAATAAAGCAGGCAGATATAATTTTCGGTTTTCAAAATGTTTTCGATTTACTCAACACATTTTCTTGAATAAAGCAACTTCTCGGGTATTTCAAAAGGTCTTTTAAGAACACAGGAAAGAATCATCAGTGTAGGCTAAAACTAGTGGATGAAAATTTTAGGGATAATATGATATTACTATAATGTAGATTATCTCTCCATAAGATAGTTATGAGTTACATAAAGTGAAGTAGTAATGTTACAGTGGGGAAATCGGGGTGATGATCTCTGGTGGATGGCAGACAGCACCTTAACCAAATGGTCAGAGTTTACTGCAGTAATGGACCTAGTTGACAGTGTGATTTGATACACTGAGAACTCAGAATCACATCTGTGGTATTCCAGCCCTGTAATGTGTAACTTTAATCTAAGTCTGAGGAGACATCAGATAATCCCAAACTGAGGATATTCTGCAAAAGAACTGGCTTGTATTTTTTAATAATGTCAATATCATGAACTACAGACTCAGAAATGTTCTGTATTAAAGGAGACATGATGACTGAATGCAATGATTGGTATTGGAGTTTTAAAATTTTTATTTACTTATTTATTTATTTGTTTTGCTGTGAAGGACATTATTGAGTAATTGGTGAATTTCAATAAAGTCTGTAGATTAGATTATTATATTGTATAATCAGTGCTAATTTTCTAATTCGGATAATTGTCCTGTGGTTATGGAAGAGAATTCTTTGTTTTAAGGAAATATATGCTGAAGTATTTAGGGTATGTCGGCAGTTTACTTATGAATGGTTCAGGAAAAAAATAGAAAAGAATAAGCAGATTTAGTAAAGTATAAACATTTGAGGAATCTGGTTAAAGAGTATCTTATAATTCTTTATATATTCTTGCAACTTTCTTGTAAGTCTAAAATTATGTCAAAATAAAACATTAAAAAATACAAGGTTATGGTAGGCTAACCATAAAAAAAATGGTTTTGAGGGGCCAATGATAGAGAAAGGTTTTCTCCTTATACAAGTACTTTACACCATGTTTTTATTTGTTGCAACTTTTGTTCTGTAATGGAATTAATTGTCATACCCAGAGCCTGCTCTAGGGTCTGCACACACTGTGTTGTAAACTGTCTCGATCCTTTACAGGTTCTAAAAGTCCCAGGTTTATAAACAAAGCACATTAGAGCCAACTACAAGTTAGTTACTGCAGCATCTCTGTGTACTAAATAAGGATAGTCTCTGGTTAATTTAAATAGTTTTGTTGCCAAGAAATTGAGAGTTATCTGAATGTGTGAAAGTAATTTTATTAGTAACTTGAAGCTGTGTTTGTATTATGCAGTGATACAGTGTTAAATTAGTTAAAATATATCCTGAGGTAGAGCATTGCTCTACCAATAGCTGTGTTTTCCTTTGGCCCAGTATTAACGTGTAGGTCTTCCAGGAAGCTGCCATCTCAGTGAAACTTCAGGGTGATTTTAAGCAAAATGTTTGTATGCGCATTACTGAAAACAGACAAAGACATATTGGCTGATGAGGTGGTTTAGAGTCCAAATTTTGGGAGTCAGATGTAATTCTTCTCAGTTTAGGGAGATAACTCTATGGCTTAAGCCCACACACACAGCATATGCCGACGCGTATTACTGTTTGGGTGGGTGTACACCCTGGAGAGCACATGTTTTCAGCCTGTAGGTGGGAAGAAGGATTTTCCCTGATTGATGAATCATCTCAAAGAAGACACAGTGAATGGACTCATTAACCATACCCCCACTTGTTTTCTGCTACTCATCTCTAGAACACTAAATGTTGGGGCTGGAAGTAGTAAAATGAAGTGACAAATGCATATTTAAAAGATCCACATGCTTTTCTATATTTTAAATCACTAGCATCTGAATCTGCTAAACCTTCTGGGTTTTTCCTCCTCATTGATTAGATTCATCTTATTCTGAATGGAAAGGAGAATTATGGTTGTCTTGACAACAGAAGTTTATCTCACACACTGATCCGAAGATGTGCATCATAATAATGTGGTTGACGGGACAGAGAGGAACATATACCCTCTACTTGATTTGGGTTGATCCTTAACAACATAGCCTGAAGCAGTCAGCTCAGTGAGGCTTTGGGTTCCCGAAAGCTAATTGGCCCTCAGCAATATTGAAGTGGTCAAGTACTCAATTGCAATAGTTTGTTCTCTGGTACTTGGTTCCATTTTTAGCTCAAATCATGCCTTTGTTTACAGGCCATAGTGTATGAAGGCCAAGACAAGAACCCAGAAATGTGCCGAGTCTTGCTCACACACGAGATCATGTGCAGGTAAGAAATACCTTTTTCTCTCCCTTTAATTAGCAAAGAGAAGGTGAATTTGCATCTCAAATCTAGGTGAGCTCAGGTCCATTTTTGGGTATATATTTATCTTGCTTCTATTAGATAATCTAAAAAGAACTTTAAACATGAGTATTTGGTAGTAAGGCGTCACAGACATCTCAATGGTTCTTGATTATTTATTAGATTTCATCCTGAAAGACATACATTTCCATTTTGATATCACACTTTTAATGGGCACAAAGCAGTGCCCTCCCCTTCTTCCGTTCAATCAAATAAAATACGATATATCCTTTTAGTGTTAATATATGTGCTCAACTACATTGCTAGTAAAATGAGAAGGAGTTCTACTGATGTCAGCAGAAGGGGGATAAGATTTGAAAGTTATAGTTCCCCTTTTTAATTCTCCCACTTAAAAATGTGACCTACGGTACAAAGGCATCATTCGTCCTTCAATTGAGTGTGGGTTTTCCCCCCTTGCCTCTGATCTCTCAGTCTTAGTTACCTTGTATATAACTGTGACAGTGTAGCAATATTTCTCAGTAACAGTGAGCTTTTGGAAGGATGACAAATGTTTACACCTGAAAGTTATAAAAATTCATCTCACCCACAAATGAGTGTATTTATTTTGCCTAGTAATCAGACACAAGCCACGTTGGAAAACAAGCGAGCAAACCAAATTCCCTTTCATGGCCCCAGCCAGTCTGCCACATGTGAGAGAGTAGACCAGAGAACAGCCTTTCAACTTGCGGTATAGAATTCTTATTCTTCATAGAATAACACCTGATATATTCTGAGTAATTGGGGAAGCACGAAGATGCCACTATGCATTGGGGAAAGGCTACTAATTGCTTTGTTAGGCATGCAGGCTCTCCCTGGCACAAAGCATGCTTGGCTCCTGACTATTACTGACCAGTGTTTTAGGCTTCAGCTGCCACTTCCGAGCGGGTGGGCTTTATCTGCTCCTCCTGGACTTGTGGGGAAAGCAATCTTAAAACTCCACAGGTGGGAATAAAATAAAAAAAGGCTTAATGTGTTTTCCTACTGAAATCCCAAATATTAACTTCTATATCTATAATTATGTACGTATATAAAAATTTCTTTTTTTTTCCTTTTTAAAAAGCATACTTTTAATAGATTATTCTAAGTTCCTCAGGACTTTCACAAGTTTTCACTTCAACGATTTGTAAAACTTGGTAATTTTTCCACAAACAGGTAGCCTTTCCTTACCTTTAAAACAGTAACAAAACCCAAAAATACGGTCATCAGTTTCTTAGAAGATATTATTAAGCAAAAATTAGTGTACTGTATACAACGATTGTACCATTAATGCTGAGTTGCACTTTTCAGAATTAAATGAGTAAAATAATTTTGAAAAGCATTAAAAAAATGACCTCCTTTGTATTACTATTTTTCTGATCATATCTCTATTTTAGCTTCCCTCAATTAGCATGTCATTAGAATGAATTTTCCATGTTCTATTACATGTGATTCTAGCAAATAGGGGACAGACAGGAAGATAGATCTTGAACAATAGGCCAACTAATGTCTATAAATCACAGATTTGCATTTCATATCTGTACATGTTTGGACTATGCTAGAAATAATTCTATTCTTGAAATACTTAAAGATATATTATGCCTTTCACACACAAGCCTACCCTCTATTAATGCAGTTTATATTTTTCTTGTTCTTAAAATTCATTGGTCCAAAGTACTTTATTATGCCGGTTGGCGTGCTTTACTGCTGATGTTCTTTCTATTTTTCAGAAACATAAAAATAGCAAAAATAAAATTCTCAAGCCACTGAAGGCAAATGATGATGTTTGTACTGTGTGGCTAAGAGGGAAAAGCCATATTCAAAATGTCATCTTGCTAATGTTACAGATTATAGTTTTCCTGGCTGCCTATAGATGTGTAAGGGGTACTGTTTGTTTACCAGGCCGCCATGACCCTATTACACAAACCTGTCATCCATTGTGTGCCTAACAGTCTTTTAAATTGCAAATCTGATGCTCTTTAGGGGGCTTTAGGAAAAAAATTCTCACTTTCCACACCATCCTATTTCTCTTGATTTCTTGCCTGTTGTAAGTGGAAGTTGGGATGTGCTGAATTTGCACCAGGGGTGCAAATGCAGGCTCAATTATAAGCATAAAATTAGAGTCTGTTCACCATTAATCAGCCTGGCTAATTGCTATGCACCACCATTAGCCATATGGTGTGAAAGACAGCTTGCTCTCCCCAAGATGAAATTTCTTCATTGCAGACATGAAATAGTGAGGGCCCTGGATTTTAAAATAGCTTGTTTTAGATATTTAATTTCTAAACAACTTTCTGCAGTGCTTTCTATCAAGGCTAACGGCACAATAAAACTTTGCATTTATGTCACAAAAGCTGTATATTTATACTACATTGGAGCTATGGTAAGGGAGACACAGAGAATTTAGATCGACAAGAAAGGGCTTGGATGATTCTGTTTTGTTGCAGGCAATGAAAAAAGAAAAACCCCGAAAAACACCAGGGAGTTGTGTCTCAGGTGGTTGGAAATTAAAAAAAAATTATTTTATTCTGTTGAGAGGGAACCCCATTGCATGAGCTGGCTAAAGGACTTACTGCCATTAGATTATAATTACTGCCTCTCTTTGAGACAAAACCTCTTTGACTTGATGGCATAGAACTCTTTTCGTGGAATTCTGGGAAGGTTTCTGCATTTTCGGTGAATTGGAATCTATCATACCGATTATCATTATATTTTGCTAATACTTAGTTCTTTAAAAAATATGCCCCCCCCCCAAGGATTTTTTAAAGCGGGAGTCTATAAGGGATTTGATTATACTGCATCTCAATATCCTGTGTTTAAATGTAAATGGAAAATAGGAACTATGCTTGGTAGGTGAGCCCTAGTCCTCAGCAAACCCCCTCCATCGCCGCCCCCCCAGGCAGGCCAAACCGATTTTCTCCCTTTCCAGTGCACAGGACGATTGCAGGGGATGGGTGCTCTGTTTAGGAAAGATTCTTTTTCTATTATCAGTGCCCAGCCTCTTATGGGACCAAGAGTTCCCAGGGCAAGCTCAGGGCAACCTCTTGAAATAGTCTGTTCTTTCTTCCTCTTTTGCTGGCTTGTTCTGATTTTGTCCTTCAGATTTCTACTTAAGCATGGTTTCTTCAGGGAAGTGTCCCAGGCCCTTCGCCTGACTTATGTCTCCTTGGCGTGCACTCCTATTATATCCCATGCTTTTCCTTAACAGCACTTAGCACACTGTAACTGTGTGTCCAGGGCCTGTCCTTCTTTGCTGAGCTAAGAGCTCCTTGAAGGCAGAGAAGCCCCTCAGCTTTCATCTCTGCTTTAGTTGTCCCATGGGTGAAATGGGGGAGAAATGCTACTTCTCTCATAGGGTGGTTGTTAAGATTAAATGCTATAATCCCCATAAATACTTACCACGGTGCCTGACACGTAGTAAGTACCGAGTGTCTATCGTTATTCCTGATAGGAATAGCAGTACTCTTAGTAGTAACACCAGCCGAAGCAGAAGTCCTAGTAGTAGTCCTAGGAGCAGCAATATCTGCAGTGTCTAGCTAAGTACCTGGTACATAGTTGCTCAGAGTGAAAGATAATAAGAGAACATTGAAGGGAAGGGAAGTGCCTACTACAGCATTAACATACTTTGTTCATTCGAGGTATGGTGGTTAAGGATATTTTCATTCATTCTTGTAGCACCTGCTATGTGCAAAGCACTGTGGAATGCAGAGCCAAAGGACTGGTCCTGTAGCAGGAGAGGTACAGGTTAGCCTGGGAGATGAGACCTGTCAGCCGATGACCAGAGTGCACTGTAGACAGGGTTGTCTGTGATGAGGGGTGAAGCAAAGGACTGTGGCTGTTCGGAGAAGGGAGGATGTACCTGAAGGCGGGTAGTGGCCTCAGGAATGAGGAGGAGGGTGAGATAGGACAGGAATTTTAGAGGGTGTATGAAGAAGTGTTTGGGCCTGTTTGTTGGTGGTCTGGCAGGATTTCTCTGGGGAGAGAGGATTGCAGGTGAGTGGGCTGTGGCCTGGGGCTGGGTAAGAGGGTAAAAGATAACCAGCGTCAGAGAGGTCTTTTCCCAACAGTGGAGTTAAAGCTATGGGCTTACATGGGACTGGAAAGGGTGGGAGACTAGAAAGAGTAGAGACCATGGGTACATTCTTGGGGAGTGGTCATATTTAGCAAGGAGGGAGAGTGTGTTCAAGAATTAGGAGAAAGAACCTTGAGCATTCAGGGCACAGAAATAAAAGGAGGGGGTTTCCAAGATGAGGAGCCATCTGTATTATAAGTCCTGGGACGATCCAGATGGACTTGAAGAAAGAAAAGTACCAGAAAGTCACTGGTGAACTTTGAGAGAGGACATTCAAGTAGGTGCTGAGGCCTGGAACCCAGATTTTATGGCAAGGAATGATGGCAACTCTGGCAAGGAGAAACATGGGCAGTGAAGAAACTAACTCAAGAGAAAAGGAGAATTTTTTTTTTTAAGAGAGTGGGACAACTTGACAGTGTTTGTCAACTAAGGGAAGAGTGAACTTACCACTATTAATCAGACTATTCAGATAATTCATGTATCTCATTCTATAGCCACTTGGGCTAAACAGGAAAGATAATCTTGTTTTCTGATGTGAAGCTTAGAGATTTAGGTGATGCTTTTCTCCAGTTGAGAGAGCCTCTACTTCTAGGAAACGATTCCATGCCTCTAGATGAAGATCTGCAAGTCCCATGACTGGGAAGCATGTAAACATTGCTTGCCCTGACTTAGGAAGCTGTGTGTCAGCTCACTGGAGATACACCACCTGTGTTAGGCTGCTAAGGAGGAAACTCATACATTTGCTTTTCCCTGGGTGTGTGGAATTATCTGGGAGATGCCCGATCCTGCTGGGGAAAGGGATGCTGTCTTGAGTCTGCAGTGTTTGTAGGATAGTAGGTGCTGGGGACCCACCCCTGTGACCCACTCCACTTTGCCTTCCTGCCGCTTGAGTTTCAGGTTGAGAAAGGATGTGAAGTAGTGGGCTTCCTGCTCCTGTGACAAAGCCAATCAGGAAACCCCAAGCCCCCTGATAGATGCCCACTCTGGGGGGTCAAATGCCAGGGCTGTGCCTGGTACAATAGGAGCCTAAGAAACCGTTTTCAATGGATGAAGATCCATAGGTCACACAGTGATGAGGATATAATTGTCACTGTGATTTCTTTCATTAACACGGTAACTTCTCTCTTAAAGTGCTCTCACGTCTGTTGTCCCATGTACTGTGCTGGTTCAGCCTGAGCGCACGCCTGCTTTAAACCTAAGCAAATCTGTTCTCCCTTCATCCTGTCCGGTCTTGTGTGTGGTGGAGGGGGTGCCTACCTTTCTTGGTCCTTCTGAGTTCAGTAGAAGGAACCAGGAGGCAGCTAGGTTTAGAGAAGAGATGAAAGAGAAGGGCGAGAAAGACTGTGGTGGGGAAGAAGGACTGGTTCTTGCTCAGCGTGGCTCTGGGCTCAGAACTAGGAAGCTGGAAGGCGGGTAGATGTCAGCTCAGTCTAAAGGAAGACATTTCTTCCCCAACTTACGGTTGATTTTCAGTTTTTTAATAGGGAAGTAATACTGCAATAAAAAGCAGAATATATATAAAATATATACCCTCCATTCCTTCCCACTTCCTATTCCACTCCCTACGGGTTACTTCTTGGAAGTTTATATTCATTTATTCAAAACATATTTCCTGAGGGTCTCCTGTGCCCTGGTCTCTGTTCTAGTTGCGGCCTAGAACAAAACAGTCTAAGACCCTGTCCTCATGGACAGGCAGACAGCATAGAAGAAAATAAATATAAAATATAATGTGCTGGGTGCCAGGGAGAAAAGTGAGACAGGATGAGGGAGAGCTCTGGGGCAGTCAGGCAGGGAAGGGCTTTTTAAGGTGGTGACTTTGCCTAGAGATTTGAGTGAAGTGAGGGGTGAACTGGCTTGTGCCCAATTCTCTCTTCCTCTCCCCTCCCCCTCTCTCTTTCACTCTTTCATTTTTTTTCTCCCAGAAATAGGACCATACCATACACACTATTCAGCAGCTTGGCTTTCTCGATTCATAATTTGATTTAGACTTTTTTCCGTGAGAGTGTGTAAAAACCCACTTTCATCCTTTTTAATGCTGCACATAATTCTGTATATACATGTATATACACACATGCACGTATATGTATGCACACATATATGTGCATATCTATGCATTTTAAAAGTAGGGTTCATCCTGTAGACCGTATTTTGTCACCACTCCAGGTGCAGAGCAGCATCCAAGACTCCCAGTTTGGGAATGACGACTGTGATGCAGTGATATGACCCCCTCCTCACCCCCCGCCCCTCCGAGACAGGAAACCTGTGGGGAGGCCATTTTTTATACTTTGCATAAAGTTTTATTTTTTATAAGTGTTAAGTGAACTTCAGCCCCTTCATTTTGCTTTCTCTTCATTCCTTCATTACCTCCTTTTATTCCTGTTCTGTCTTTCCTTCCACACTTCTGTTCTTCACATCTGCCTTTTCCGCTGGATCCCTTGGGGCCCAGCAGAGAAGTGGTTCTCATTTATGCTGTGCTTCAATTCATCCCACTGTGCTCAAGGGCATTTTTATTTTAAGAGGATGAAGAAAGACAGTGCTTAAGTCAAAGGACCAATCTCATGTCTTGTGTGGCACTTGCTTGGGGGAGGTGGTTTGGTGTACGGAGTGGGATGGGAGTGAACCTTCTTTCCATCAGCAGTGCCTGATCAGAGGGTCAGCTTGGCTTCCTCTATCTGTCACCTTCCTATTTCCTTGGATCGTATTTCCCTCAGTACATTACATCATTCTTTAAGTCATTTGATCAATCAATCATCAATCAATATTTGAGCTTCTCCATTCTATTTCAGTCCTTACATTACTCATTAGGTAAATAAAATTTACAGTTTCTTCCTTTATGAAGCATACAGATTAGTGGGGGAGCACAGTGAGAGGAGAAAAAGAGTAATAAAACAAACATTGATATAAGAATATAATTTGCATTGCGTTACATGTCCTGAAAGGAAAAACCAGGAGGAGCCTGAAGGGGGTCAGGGCCAGCCTCTCTGGAGAGGGAGCGTACAGGCTGAGGCCTGAACAGCGAGTAGAGGCTGCCTAACCAAGGAGGGGCTGGAGGAGGAACAGACCAGGCCAGGAGGCCTGCCCAGGCCTAAGCCTGAGGTCAGACTGAGTGAGGCATATCAGAGAGACTGAAATTGGCCAGTGAGGTTGGAGCTTGGCAGCTCAGAGCAGAGTGACAGGAGGCTGGACGGTGGTCTGGCATCATGGCATGCCATAGAGCTATTCTGAGTGCTGGGGGAAGCCAGTAATAGGTCTTGGACTGTGAAGTGACACAGTCCCATTGACATTTTGAAAAGAGCCCTTTGGCTGTTCTAGGAAGTAAAGCGTGGAGGCAGCAAGGCTAGATGGGAGGCCACTGCAGAAGTCCAAGTGAAGAATGAAAGCGACGTGGATGAGGGTGATGGTAGTGAGGAGAGAGAGAAGCAGGCATGACATGGAGATTCTACTCTGAAGTTGCCATCATGCCAGGTGGAAGAGCCCCTGGAGGGCACGAGTCTGGACAGGACCCGGTGAGGGTTCTACCATCAGCAACTTGCGTTGCCCACTCACTGTTTGGGGAAGAGAAAGGGGGGGGGATGGAAAATGAGGAGGAGAAATAGGCCTTCCCACCTACCGGTTTTCTCCCTGGGTAAAGACAACATGGGATCTGTTGATAGGCAGCTGTTGGAGGCCTGCTGCTTCTGTGGAACACGGGGCAGCTTTGCTCAGGTTAGGAGGAAGAGGAGGTCGGAGGAGGCAGGAGCAGGAGGTGATAATGATGCTGCCCTCCATGGAGCACTTAGTAGGCCCGGTCGCAGAGCCCAGCTTTATACCCTGATTGCACTGAATCTGCGCCCTGACACTTCGAGGTGGGCACCACAGTTGTCCATTGCACAGGTGAGGAAACTAAGATTCTGTGGGGTAGAGTACCTCGCTTCAGGTGGCACGGGGAGCTCTGTCTGATTCTGGAGCCAGTGAGTTCTTAACCACCAGGCTCTTCTGGCAAGCCCTTGAAATGTAGGCGTAGGGGATCAGAGTTAAGGGATGATGGAGTTTAATTTTTTAACTATCATTTTTTGTACAAACATTCCAACCACTCTACTTCTCATTCCCTTGTTTCCACATCTCTCGCTTGGGTATTGGGATACTTTGGGCTTTCTAGCCCCATAGTCCTGGTATATTAGAATGTAGGCCTAAAAGGAAATAGTTCCCTTTGAATCAGAAAGGAAAAGGTGGATGAAGTGACCTTCAGCTGGGGCTTTAACAAAGGAGATACAGTTCTTACGATTGCTTTCCGAAGATATGAGAGACAAAGAGAATTAACACCAAATTTGGAAACTGATTCTGTTCTCAGAGATATAGTTAGGAAAGAGACTTCCCAACTTTGGTGAAAGACTCTCTATCCAGGAGTGTATTTCTGGGTCCTGAAAATGAAGTTCAATGTTTGGTTCTCTCCATCAGCTTTCTAAATTTAGGCCCTATGATTCACTAAGTAAAATGTATGTGTGTGTGTGTGTGTGTATGTGTATGTGTGTGTACACACGCCTGTGTAAGAAAGAGGGAGAAAAGTGCATATTTTATTTATGGCACATGATAATGTATAACCCTTGGATAACTTCCTTGCCTCCTTGACTGATCAAACATGTGTTTTATAGTGTGTCCCTGGGTGTAGACTGACCAGTGCACATATGTTTTATCTGCAAACAAGTCTCAGATGGATAGTTTTCCATTGACTATGGGTAATTTTTAAAAACCTCAATTCCGCCCCCCCCAGAAGCATCCCACTTTTACAGAAATGGACAGTCTTTTCCTCACAGCTAGGGTGGGATTTTGATTAGTGGGTGCTTTTCTAGCCCATGGCTGTTTTTTCTCTAACCTAATTAAGAGCATCCATTGTCAGGGCTGTGCTAGCCTTTGGATCAACTGTCCATAATGCATCCAGAAAACTTAAATGGTGGCCAGCACAGGACACAGAAGCCAGACAACATGTGGATCTCCACTTTCTTTTATCTTGCCTCTTCTTCTTCATTATTATGTTGTACTTTTATTCTCATGAAGATGGTTCAAAAGCAAACAGTTATAGCTTTAGGATTTTGGGCAGGCTGGGGTTGAAGGAAAGAGATTTCTCCCTTGAAAGAGAAAGGAGAAGAAAAAAAATCCATTTAATACAGAATTACTGGAGGGGGAGAAATCACTCATACCTCATTATTGACGCGTTCCACACAATTAGTGTGATCTTGAGGGAAGAACGTTTGAGCCACCCACAACCCTGAATATTCTCATTGGGTAGATGTAATAATAATGCATTTCACAGTGAACTCTTCAATACTGCGGGCAGTGATGGGGAGACCCCATCTTAGGTCTGTCAGTCGTGGCTCCAGGAGAGTCCCTCTTCCTCCCTCCTTCTTTGTTCAGGGAGAGGTTAAGCCTGGCCATTAACCCATAGACGAACCACATAGAATTTTCTGTCCCAGGGATCCGTTGATTGCCAGGTATGGCTTTGTGGTAATTCTAGCATTTGCAACCCAGCAATTTGAACCTTCTGTCTGCCTAAATGATGATTTCACATTGTGATGGTTGTACTAAATCCTTTCCCTTTTGCTCCATAGCCGCTGTTGTGACAAGAAGAGCTGTGGCAACCGAAATGAGACTCCCTCAGATCCAGTGATAATTGACAGGTAGGGACCACTCTACTTTCACTGGATTCTTATTCCTCATTATAATGAAACACCTGCCTTGTGTTGCTCATGGGCGAGGGTGAGGAACGCACGTGGCCGAAATTTGCCTGTTGGTCATGACTAGTCTGTGCCGAGCTTTTGCGATCCCTGGGAAAACCAGTTGGAATGTTCTTTGGAGGCCCGTGTTCTTGGATTGCTTTGGTTTTCTGTCTGATTCATGCTCTTAAAAGAATATTTTTCTCTTTCCTGACTTTCTGTGGCTCAATCCTCATGCTGTGCCAGGAAGCTACAGAAATAAAATAATAATAGTTTGTGATTTATGAAATGTGGTTGGGTGCTTATAAATATTTAACTTTTATTTGAAAAATGTTTGAATCATTATCACTTTTAGCTACAGTAGTTCTGTTGGACGTAATCCATCTACATTTTAAGGTTTTATTTATGCATAAAAGCAGTTTTAAGGAGATCTGTGAACCAAGACTTTCTAGTGTTATCTCCCGGCATTTGATGGTAGCTCATACTGTATTGTAAGTTGATTAATTTATCCTGCTTGTCTTAATTATTGTGTTTTTAAACAGATCCATATTACTAATCTGACATGACCAAGTAAATCACTGTAGAACAATAAATCTGTTTTAGTTGTTGGGTGCAATTTGGAGTCAGTGTGTGCACATATTATGCGAAGTCGCATTCCAAATATTCATTTTACATTTTAATTATTGAAATTCATTGTATGGAAATATGTATGATAAACCATTTGTTACATAGCATTACTCATTGAGAGTTAAATGGCCTGGAAGGTTTATGGTTACTGTCAGTTGTCAGCTAGGGAAAGAGCTAACACCCTCCACTAGCTGGAAAAGAGTCTTGTAAATTAGACTGACGGATCCCTCATGGAGGAAATTAACAGCTGAACAAAAGTTCCTCTTTGGGTTTGGTAATGATGATTTTTACTGAAAAAAAAAAAAAACCCACAAAACAAAACAAAATAAAAAACAAACCCTATCTATCTGTCTTTCCAATTCTTTACCTTTTGGGGCTACTTTATTGTTTTTCAGTTAACTGAAAAACTGCTTCCTTGTAATTTATGTCAAAACATTGATTTGTTGATTTGGATTCATGTGATTCTCCAGGCTTCAAACCAATTTTTTGTTGCCCACTAGCTTTATAAAGCTTACGTTTCAATCAGGTATTTTAACTAAATATCTCTCTAATATTTACCCAAAACATACCCCTTTGCTTGATAACTGAGTCTTAATATACTTGATTCCAAGTTAATACACGTTTTTCGTGTGAGGTGAGGTTGTATGCCGCCTGTAGGTTTGGAATAGCATGTTTATGTGCGAGAGCAGACCTGCCATTCGTGTAATTCCTTTTTTCTGCAATGGAAGATAAATCTTCCGATGGAAAAGGTCAAAACTAAATATAACCTTTATGCTGTTTGTTTTATTTAAATCCATCTCTTCGAAATACCATTTGTTATTTTAAGCAAGTTTTTCCTAACGCTTCTGTTAAAAAGAAAGTGTTCTGATCAAAGGACCAGCCCAAACAGTCCCACAAACTTTGAAACTATAAGCATTCTGTTCTGCCGCACAGTTTCTTTTGGTGTAGATGATGACAAGCAACCGTACCTTGCCACCCGCAATGAGAACACTTCTTTTGCTTGTGAATGGGTTAAGCTTTTAAGTTCTTCATTTGGTTTTAAGCTGTGACTCTGATATAGAAGGTTGATATGACTGTGGTTTGAATAACATTTGATTTTGACCTGTTCTTGTGGGTTGCGATGGCATAAGAAACTTGACTCAGCAGCGCTGTAATTAGCCCGGCCCGTGTTTTTGAAACAGGATTGTGTTACCTGGATTGCATTAGTGTGGCTTCTATTGTTGCCGCCTAGCATCTGTCCCAGTAGGGTACTTAAAACCTTTTCTTGGCTGGGGTAGTTCAAACAATTTAGGCAAAATAAGTATGCACTTCATACTGTTGGTGGCTTGAGAGATATTACTCATGACATTTCTCCTTTTCATTTTTTCCCTTTTTGGTTTGACAAAGTAGAAAACAGTGTGTAGCCAATGTTGGTCTCTTAAGAGAGGAGTATTTTAAAACCGGCTGAAACCCAGTGGATCTGCAGAAGCCTCAACATGTTTATTTGCTGGCGATTGCCACTGTCTCCCATGAACTGTCTTTTCAAGCAGTGATTCCAGTTGATATGCAAAACCCCATTCAGCTATTTTTATTTGCATCTGAGTTTTCAGAATTTATTTGTCCTTGAGTCTGCCAAAGGTTTTAAAAGCTCCAGCCCTGTCTCTGCTGATCTGTGAAACTTTCATTTTTAACAATGAGAGAAGAAAATAACAACAAGAAAAGAACTCACACGAGGAAGGGCAAAATAGAAAAGATTTTTCAATTCCATAAAATTGCTGCAAAGGAAAAAAAAATGATGGCAACCGTGTTTGAATTTCATAGTTTCCAATTTGATTCTATATTACCGATTGCATAATATCTGCGTTACGTGCTTAGGGTTTGATTTGCTTTCAGATTAATGGATGTGAATCTCTGCATATTTTGCAAAAATAGGTTATGGGGCCTGCATTCAGTCGCAACAGTAACTGTTTTTACAAGATGCATACAATATGCAATTATGGAGCTGAAGGTACAGGCAATCACTGTGTTAGGATTTAGCATAGTTTTAGCACGAAGTCACCTTTCGGGCACCAATAATTTTTAGCTCCCTTTGCTTGTCCTTCGGATTTTGGAAGAACACTGCTATTTTTATCAGTCAAAAGACTTTTAGCAGTGGTTATTCAGGAAAACTATTTATAGGGTAGATAGAAGACGTTTTCTGGTCATACAGCAATAGTGCAGGCCAAGCTATTTCTGTGTTAAATTTTGGCTGTATTTTTTGCTGCCAGTGATTTGGGGACATCAGCGTGGCGTTGTCTATCAAAAAAATGGAATTAACAAAATCAGCAGTTGCATGTCGTGATTTAGAAAATGGGTTTCTACTTCCTTCTTTTATAATAGCATGCAACAGAGTAAGAAAAATATGACCCACATTCTTTTTACATTTGTGACAATTTGTCAAGTCCCTTCGAAAAAGTTTAGAGGAAGATTTCTGCAAATGTAGAAGGTGTGCATGTGGAGTTGACTGCCAGGTCATATTTCGGCCTGATGCCAAATGGCTTGATTAAGAATTATAAAGACCAGGATGTGCCCAACGATCCCAGTATTTGGGCTGCGTAGACATGCAAAAAGTCATATGTGTTATGTTTAATAACCGATGACCAGGAACTAATAACAGTAAATTTCATTATCATTGAGGTAAACGGCTATGTGTGGTAATTATTGTTAAAGTAAAAAGTAAAAACTGTCTTGCTGTTATTAAATTAAGGTGGAGATTGATTTAACATATTCACACAGTAACTCATATTTGAATTTAAAAGGTTTACAATAAAATCCGTGTTTAGAAATTGAATAAATTGTAGTTTTATTACCACATTGGGTATCCTTGTGTCCTAACCTTTTTCCTTGGAGTTATCTTAGTTCAATAAATAAAACCTCATTAGACTATTCCCATTTCAACGAGTTTATTAAATTTTGCAGGAGTAATTAGCATAAGCTGTGCTAATTTTTCTGGAAGACTAATGAGGGAGGTTCTTAATTAGGTTTACTTTGTAAGAGTCAGAAAAGATGGTAATGACAAAAGTCACACAGGGTAGTCCGAATTGGGAACCCAGTTTTTCTAAATCTATAAAAAAAATCTTCCCTTTTCTACATGGAAACTTCTTTATAAATACTTGAACTGAATATATGAAGTGTGCAGACTGTTATTCCGTATCTAGTTGGTTAGGGTTACCATCCGTTCTTGATTTGCTTCACAAAACTCTTTATTTTCCTATCCTTGATTCACTAAACTATCTTAGAGCAATGACATGGGTGAATACAGATGGTCTTACAAAAACATTTCTTTCTCTGAATTATACGAATTATACTATAGGATTCCTTTCACACAGAGCCCTGAAGTTTCCGGTCAGATTAGTTGTGCTTATTTCCAGTAGGGCAGGATAGGGTATGGCTCAGTATTTGTTTGTTTGTTTGGTTTTTCAATTTAGGATCAGTGTGACTGATGAAATAGAACACTAAGTAAAGGGACAAAATAAGTTCCCAATTCTTCATGTCCTTGCACTGTGGATCCTGGGTAGTTAACACGTGGAATTTTTTCTTTTAATAGATAGAAATAATAAAGGGTGAAATTCTTCCTCAAATCATGTTTTCCCATCTCATGTGAATTTAGACATAGTCCTTTTGAGATATAACATGGCTTGAATAGCCTGCACATTTTGAGTTCCTCACAGCCAGTATGAGCATGGATTTTTAAAGCCTGTTGACTAATATACCTCTAAAAATTTTGCATTTGCTTATTAAAACTTTAACAGATTTGTCTTTCTTTTCCATTTATAAGATCCTTTATCTATGTTTGAGATGTGAGCTTGTGATACATTTTAAAAAATACATGAATTCTATGACGTGAAAAAGTTAGCTTGTTTAGAATCACTACTCTTTAGGTCACACTGACCCAAGGGTGTCCTAAAAAGAAAGGAAGAAAAAAAAAGCCTGTATTTGTCTTTTCCAGGATTGTCTAAGGATCTTCCACATCTAGATCACTTTCATTTAGGTAACACTAGTTGGATTTTCTTTATGATTATTGTCTGAAATAGAATGTTCAGGAGTGAAAATAGTATAATGCTTATTTTACCTGTTGAATTTACATGACATACAGCATATGAAAAGCTTGACCATGTCAAGGTTGTTCAGAGAAGAAATTTTTCTTAAGATCCCTTCTTCAACTGAGAGGTGTAAATGCTATGACTGAACTTTTTAGAAATGTCTAGTGTTGTCTTATCAACATCTAATTTCCTGATTAAATTGGCCCGATGTATTTATAGAAGATATACGTCCACCTATAAAACAGGAAGACAATAGTAAAACTTTGGAATTACCATAGAGTGGGTATGTAATATGTATGTAATAAAGTCCTCAACTCTGTGAACATAATATATACTTTGTTGCAAATGAGGCTTTTCCTCAGAGTTTCATTTCACTGACATTTCAACTCATTGTTTTGGCCTCTACCCAGTTTTTAGAAGGACCGACCGACCACTGCACATAATCACAATGTAAGATACACAAACTGCTGTCTGGGGTGTGAACAACCAGAGGTGAAATTGCATTTCTTGGAGTTCTGATAAGCCTTTATACCATCTGATTTCCTAACCTTGAGTGCTCCGTTAAAATAAAAGGAGGAGGAATTCACCCTTTACAATTGCCCCAGGCAGGATAATTGCTGTCTTCTTGGTTGTATTGAGAGGTTTGCCTTTTTCCAGAAGTGAAAAGCCAGTGCTGACGTGGAACATTAATTTATGGTTGTTTATTAACCCTACTGTATTTAATACATTTGTTTTCTCAGTGGGAATTCCTATGTGATTATTAGTGATGAGGCTGATGTGAGAGCGTATCATTCTAAATTTTATCACATATCAAATAATACCATTCTGAATATGAGATGAGCCGTGTACATTTGTGTGCAGTTTGCTACCATGATAAGAAAATAGCAAATACAATAAACTAATAGCAGTCTGTATTCCATTTGCTATCAGCTATTCCCAAATACAGAGCCAGGATACATTAACATGCATTTCAAATATGCTGACAATATATCATAATGCAAAGTATTTTTACATGGTATAATACTACTGCAGACACTGTATAATGAACAACAGTGGTTTTCCTGTAAAGGAAGTAATGGCAGCAACTTCCAAGAAATGTATTTAACGAAGCTTCAGAGAATCAACAGTGTTATGTGTGTAACTGGCCCGGGCATCTGCTCGTGGTGGGGGTTTTTAATCCCATGTCTTCATAACTTTGCCTTTGTGACAGTTTTGGAAAAATACAGAAAAGCAGTACAAAGTCCCCTGTGTGTCATCTAGCAACTTTGCATAGTCAGTTTGTGATGAGAATATATTACTATATTAAATATGCTTTTACTTTTCTAAATGAATTTGCTTAGAATGGGGAAAAAAAAAACCCAAAACCCTCCCCAAGTGCAACTCTCCATTGATAAATTCCCCTCACTCCTCCCTACTGCGGGCACCTGACCAAACTCTGTAAGAAGAGTTGACCAGATTTTAAAAACTCCATTTAGAGTTTTCCTTCATATAAAGAGATGGTATTTTGGTCATTTTAATTGGCATGAGGCATTATCTGAAATAGACTGCTAATTCCTCATTCTCTCCTCTCCCCCGTTCTAGCTTTCCTTTTACAAACTGGGTAACTCTACCCTGTTCTGGACAATATAAAATTGACCTAAATACTCCAATTGCAAGCAATGAAATATGGTGAACAGTACACGTTTGTTTTTGGTTGCTTATTGGCTTTAAAGGTGTGGGTAGATGAAGATAAATCTCCCTCGCAAACTCTCCAGTTACAAGCCTTTGTCCAGAAGCAAATGAAGGTTTTAACGTTACAGTACTTATTGTAATAGAATTTTAATTGCCTTAATCCTGCTAAAGTGTGAAGCTGAGTGTGTGTGTGTGTGTGTGTGTGTGTATGTATGTATGTGTGTGCATGTTCTTCATGAGGAGGGGAATCAAGCTGGAAAAAAAAACCTGCATATTTTTCAATGGGGGATGGGGGTCACATATGGTAAATGATGCAAACTTAATGAACCTGATTTGGGGGAAAAGAATGCCACTGGCATTTCATCCATGTAATATATACTCCACTTTCAGTGGGAACAGAGTGGTCTTCGCTGTGCTTTGGGGATTTTTATTTTTGAAGGTGAAGTGCTTCGTTTCAGTTCCAAACTTGCCTGCAAACCCTACTTGGAAAGACTTAACTAGACAAGCTGGCAAATTATATAGCTTGATCCCACACAATAACCTCCAAAATGGCACTCGGTAACTATACCATCCCGCTAACTGTTTGAGGCACAATAGTTTTGTAATGTAATATAAAGTAATAGTGTTATAGCCAACACATCTTTAATAAGATATTGTTCGTGCCTTTGCCATATGCTACAGAGCAGCCTCTCACTCGGTGGGCCTTTTGATTCCT